TTTCTTTGTTTGTAGTAATAAAAAACATCGCCGCAAACAATGTCATTAGGTTCGTCAGGAGTTTTACTTATTTGTAGTTTAGTTTTTTGTGAGTGACGATTATATTTTGCTTTATTGCATATATTGCAATTGTTTATAAATTTATGGATTATTTCTTTAATTTTTGGGAAGAACCATTCTTTTCTAATTTGATTAAAATTTTCAATTATACCCCGGTGGTTTGAGTCATTGTGAATTTTTTCTATTATTTATTATTTTTAATATTATTTATTATTTTTACAAATCACAAAAAAGTTCCTGGTTTTACATTTTTCGCCATATCTACGGAACGAATTGATGGAATTTCTTGAAATTTGGTATTTGAGTTCTGGTAATGACCAAAACTAACTGGTGGGCATTTCAGGGAATTCGGGTAGCACAAAACGAAACTGTACTAAGAGTCAAATTTACATTTTTCTAGGTATGTCAATTATAAGCTTACTACTTATTATAGGTTTATTTATTAATTTGTCTTTCTTTTGTATATCATTCCCGAAAAGTTTAAATTTGAAAAATTATAAATAAATTTTAAATGCAAATGTCTACTGGGCTTGAAAGGATTTCATCAATATCTCGTATTTTGTTACGTGCTCTCAGAAGTCTATACTCGTAGTACCTTATATCAATTTTTGTACACTAGTATTTCGTTTTAAAAGTCCAAAAAATGTAATAATATTTATGAAAAACAAGTATTAAACCACAACGATTTCCAAATTCAGGAATTTAAAGAAATTTTCCTTAAAATAGGGCACCCTTTTCTTGCTTTAACTACTTGAAGTAACTTTACCATAATCGGGTTGAATTTTTCGTCTTCATTCCCTTTCATTTCTCGCCCACGCAAAATTAAAGACTTTACTCTGCGTTCTCTTACTTGCTTGCTTTTCTATGATAACACTCTTCATTATAATTAATTTCTCTTTAAATTTGCCTAATTTGTGAACATTTAAAGTTAAACTGCACTTGCCGCAACCACATTTATTGAGATCTTTTATGTGTGTTTCTGGGTTTTTTGTGAAGTCATTGTAATTCATGTGATGTGTGGTATGTTACATGTTTCAGCAATATTGCAGTCAAAAATAAGTATACTGGGAAAAAATCATTATTCATCAAATCTAAAGTTTTCTGTCAGAATATTAAGCTTACATTTTTGGCATTACGAGTAAAACACTATTGAAATTTTTTTCGCATTATTTTTGTTTAACTTAAACATTACCTAGTGAAAGTTTAGCGAAGATGGTTTGAAATTTTGAAATTTATCATTTCGGTAACATTTTGAAATTTACTATTTTGAAATGTTACTACTAATACTACGTACACCAGGTCATCGATTTACGACGCATCTGATATACGCCGATTTGCAGTTACGACGTCTTTGTTTTAAAATTTTCTAATTCACATAACGACATTTTTTGCAGTTACGTCGCTTTTTCAAAAATGTGAAGAAAAAAATTTTATAACGCTCATAATTTGTAGTTGAGTCGTTTTTGAAAATGTGTTTTCTTATTTTTTGTTTTTTCAATAAAACAAAACAACCACAAACTTTAATTATCTATGCATTTGTGGTTGTATTGTTTCTAAACAAAAAAAGACAATCTTATACTGAGTACATATGTATTGCACAAAACTTCACATTCATTTTGTCTGAACAAAACAATTTGTGTTTTAGATTTTATGATTTCTATTTTAGAATTTAGAATTTCAATTTTAGAATTTAGTTACCTTTATTATTTTGTTTTTACATTTTTAGATTAAGAAAATATTTTGCAGATTGTTATTAAGTTTTGTTTTTGATTCTTTTGTGATAAAAATAAATTCATATGTGAATAAAATATGCCATATAAAAAACGTACATACATATGTATGTATGTTGTAAATATATTTATTTATTTTAGGTTAGAACCTAGGCAGATATATATGTACATATACAAAGGTATATATAATATACAAATGTATTAATTCATTTGTATTATTTTATTTAAGTACATTCCTATATAAATATACATAAATATGTTTAAAATTGTACAAAATTTTAACTGTACAAATTTTTTATGCATGTGTGTATGTATATACATATAAATTTTTTAACTTGTATGTATATGCAAGTATTTATGTTCATATGCATGAATATACAAACATATTTTAAAAAAAAACCTTGTCTAACAACGATTCGACTTGCGACGTAGTTTTCCAGAACACATCGCCGTTGTTAATCAAGGATCTAGTGTAGTACAAGCTCTTTTTTTACACGGTAGATACATACTTACGTTCCAACGAAAACTGTGTAAACAAAAAAACGTGTAAAAAAGACATGCTACTCATATTAAAATTGAGGACGTGTTCCACAATTTTGAAAACCCATCTAAGATCAAAAAAAGAGTTTTCGGTTGACCTAAAAACCGTGCTAAAAAGTATAATATTAAAAACCAACAACTATTATAATGAAAAAAAAAATATACATATTTAATGTACAATATTATTATTAAAAACAAAATACAGTTCAGGTATATTATGATTAAAAAGTATAAAATAAATAATAAACAAAATATAATTCAAACATATTAATATTAAATTTACGCAATAATATTTCCTTTTTGTTATAAGTAAATCCAAACAGAAATTATATTGGCACTAAAACTTATAAAAAACAAATATTGTTTTCTTGAAAAACAGACAAATATAAAGTGCGACTAAAACAATTCTGGGAATTTCCCCAGTTATATTTTTTTTTATAACTGGGTGTACAAAAATTTTTTTGAACATCGTGTTAGAATAAATAATTCGTGTAAAAAAACATATTTTTTGCTTTTTGTGAACCGTGTTATTTCAAAATCGTGTAAAAAAAAACAGTGTAAAAAGAAAATTGGGTGTATTAAATTTGCGTGTGATCAGCACATAACTGTCCTCAATATATATCTATTGTTTAGTTTAGTAAAAATGATATAGAAAACCTAGAAACATACCTAGAAAAACGTGATTCTAATGGCTCTTAGTAAAGTTTCAATTTGTGCCGTCTGAATTTTACGAAAAGTTCCTCAGTGACTTTTGGTAACAACCAGAACTCAAATACTAAATTTCAAGAAATTTCATCAATTCGTTCCGTGGATATGGTACAAAATGTAAAATCGGGTCCCAGATCAGTTTCCCATGCCTGATCTTTACAAAAAATTTAAAAATTCATTGTTTCAACACCTCGACATATTAACATATTTCAATGAAATCGGTTGATTATTTCTCTTTATATGCAAAATTTGTTGCCATCACATAAAGTCTCTTATTGTATGCAATTCGGTCAGTAGAAATCTATAAGGAGAGTGTATTAATAATTTTCTTTTCTGTTTCGGAAGAATGAGTAGTATTACATATCTATCACTAAAAAAAAATTGGGTCAAAGCAATGGCTTGTAATGTAGTACTTTTTCCTTCAACAAGTGAAAATAGTGCTTTTAAAAACTGTGTATAAATCTATGTATACCCACTACACTATTAAAGTTGCTTTCATTCATATATGAAACTATTTCAAGGATTGCACACATTTAGGGTGAGCGATTTATTCATAGTCTTCGAGACGTGATCTTTCCAAAAAATTTATAGATTCATTGCTTTAACACCTTGAATTTAAATATTACTTAAATTCGAGCTGTTAATCGATTAGATTTTAAATAATAACTATTACTTAAAATCTAATCGATTTTAAGGGTTAGTTCGTGAGTTAAGAAAAATAATATATTTTTTAATGGCATGGAATTTTTAATGGAAATGAACTATTTATTAAAGTCTAATCGCTGTTAAAATTTCAGATTTGTACAACTCGGGCTCTAGAAAAACGATATCAAAAATTTGGAAAGACGGATTTTAGATAATGGTAAAACGGCTATTTTGTTTTTTTAAAGTTCAAATATGTGCGATATAAAAATTTGATGTGCGTTTACAAAATTTGAAAAATGTTTATAGTTTCACTGCAACAAATAGTCAAAAAGTATCATTTTTAGGGTTTTGCGTTTCTACTTTTAAAGGGAGGGGGGATAGGTAAAAATTTTCTTTTACGGAAATAAGTTTCTAGTCTATGTATCTATGTATCTGTAAAATTTTAGCTTTTTATCTTCAAAGGTGTAGAAGTTTTGTAAAGAGATACACGGACACACGCACGGACAGCGTGTAACTAATAAGCACTTTCAAAAATTTTTTTGGGGAACACTTTTTTTTACGTATAAGAAAAATAGAATGTGTAGGCTTGATTTTTCAAAAAATGTAGTTTTTAACAAAAAAATTATAGCTGAAAATTTCAAAATTTCCTTTCAATTAACAAACAGTTTTATTCAAATACTTTATCAAAAATTTGAAGTATGATATTCATTAAGGTATGGTCCATCCATATTCAATTACACATATTCTGCCATTTGTTGTTATTTGTTTTAGAGGAAAACAACACACACAGAATACGCAGGAAAGTAGAAACAAAACAAGCGAGGGAAGATAAAAACAAAAATAATTTTTTTTTATAAAGGTTTATGTATGGAGTGTTTTTTAATATGCAATATGTAAATGACAAAAAATTGTGGTCAACCTACAGAATGTAGAGATGGTCTCTTTAAAGAGGTGCACCTTGCATCAAGTCCCATTTTTTTCTTTATATGTAAAAACAGGGCTTGGTACAAGGACGATGAAAATCTGGTCAAGTTAAGAAGGTGGTCTCGTTATAGAGGGGAAAACATATGGAGATTTTACTGCATATCATTCGGTATTTCACTCCCTGCCCGTTTATAAAAATGCATACATATATGAACATTTCTTTCATAGCTGGAAATATTCATTGTATACATTTTCGTACTACATTTTTAACAAATCATTTAACTTTCTTAAGAATTAATTTATTAAACAAACTAAATTTTTATTTATTCCTTACCTAAATTTTGATTTATATGAGATATAAAAAATGTTTTGGCACTGCTTTTATAATTCTAGGAAACAATGGACGCTTCGGTGTTTAAATCATGATGGTAAACATTTTTTTTTAACATTCTTCTAGTTATATAATACATTTAAGCTTTCTTTTAATTAAGTGCACGAATTAATATGATTTTAATAGTTTGTGAGTTTAACATTGTGAGTTTGCGCAGCTAGTAAGTATTTTATTGCATGCAATATTAATATACATGCTTAAAAAAATCGAAAATATATGCGAAAATAATGGTGCAGCAAACCTAGTATAACAATCATTGAAAATAGAACAAAAAAAAAACAATTATTAATTTATTAACAAATTTGATTAAAAACAATGATTCAATTATTTTTAATCAACTATATAAAAATATTTAAAACAGGACGTTCCGCATAACAAAGTTCAAACGGTTCCCACCCCCTCCTTTTTCAATTTTTAACAAGAAATTGAATAAAAATCCTTGAAATTATTTGCAGCCTTACGCGAAACTCCCTGTGTATTCGCATTAAGAGAATATGAGCGCACTGTGGAAGAAGTGGTTGCAGATAATGGCTTCCTGCTTAATGATGTCATATCCTATGACACGCTTATGAACTTTTGTTCTACCACAAATATTCTTTGAAGACAAAGTGGACCTTAAAAGATAAAATTCGAAAAAAAGATTATATTTTTTAAAAGTAATGAAGTTATCAAATCAAACAAATTTCAAAACAAATATATGAAATAAAAATTAGATAAAATTTTTCTACAATAATATCTTAAAACAGTAATTTTTGAAAATATAAACCTATTGAGATACCTATTCTTTATAGTTTGTTTTACCATATTAAAGGTAAGAAAAAATGTTATTCAAATAAGTAAAAAAGTAATATCCTAATAAATCTTGTACTTTTGAAATAGAACCGTTATTTTACAAATTTAATAATAACTTTAAAAAAAATCGTTGCATCCCTAGAAAATATCCTTAGAAACCTAAGAGACAAATTAAAAATTTTCAAAAATTTTGACCTACAATTTTCCTTCAGTCTGAAAGTAAGTCTTCCTCAAAATTCTAAAAATGACTTAGAAAATAGCGTCTTACTTATCTACTGTGAAGCTGTATAGGCAAATGTTACAATGACAAAATGACTGTCAAAGTCAATATTATTAAAGTGTGTTTTTCTGTTTAAACTTTTAACTAAGTATTTTTGTAATGCAGTAAGGAAATTTTGGATCTCCTTAGAAATTAATAAATAATTAATTTTTTAGGAGAAAAATTTTACTTTCCAAAATTAAGAAAATTTTAACTTTTGGCAGCTATTTTTTTCAAAACTGTTAACTTTTCCAAATTTCTATAAAAACCTATAAATAAAAAAATTATTTTATGTGTTTTATTTTTTAAGAAACGTCGTAACTCACACATTATAAGTTTAATTCGAGTAACTCAGTCGTTTAGAATTAACGCCATTTTCGCATTTATTACACATTTAGAAACTAAGTTCTTAATTTTTGTGGTAAAACAAGCTTGTCCAATATTTACTGAGTTTTTTTATGCATCAGCACCAATCTATTCTTCTTTTAATAAAAATCTATGTATTTTTGAAGTACACAAAATGCTAAGAACATAAAAAAATAATATTCTTTATCTTTCTGTTCTCTTTACATTCTAAGTTGAGCTTGGAAAATTTGGAAAATTTAGTCAAACTAAATAATTTATCCATCAGTAGTCAATCCAACTATAAATAATATAACAGAAACGTTTCTCTGTTGAGTTTCAAAAACAATTTTGAATTTCATATTCGTATATAATTTTGTGTATAGCTATTGTAAATAATAGCAAGCGAAAACGTTTTAGTCGGTATACATCACGACTAACAGAAATATAGGCCTGGATCATTAGAGAGAGTTACAGTTCACAGCTGACGAATTTACACGGATTCTTATGGGAATTATAGAGGGCCCTTTTTATCATAATAAATCTTCCGCAAGTTCAATTTCTTTCAAATTTTTAATTATAAAATGTTAAAATTTAAACTTTTTCTATTCTACTGGTGCTTACATTCTAGAATTTCTGTGTTATTAAAACATTAAAAAATTGATTTAAAAAAACCTTCTAGGCTCAGTTTCAATAAATGCTACACTACAAGAAAAAAAAACTCTGATGTTGTCAGCACATAACCGACCGCAATATGTATTGTCTAGATAAGTGAAAGTTACAGAATATTATAAAAATGCTTGTTAAAAACTTCTTTTCAATTTTCAGGGCATTAGTAGGCTTATCTAAGATAACATATCTAGAAAAATGTAAATTTGACTCTTAGTAGAACTTTGTTTTGTGCCATACGAATTCCCTGAAATGCTTCTCAGTTAGTTACGTTAACAACTAGAACTCAAATATCAAATTTCAAGAATTTTCATCAATTGGTTACATAAATATGATAAAAAAAAGTAAATTTGGCCACTAGTTCGGTTTTCGCGCCCTGATCGTTCCAAAAAACGCTCATTGAAATTTATATGTTCATTGTTTTAACACTCCAAATTTGAATTTCAACAAAATTGGACGGTTATTTCTCTTTATATGTGCAAAAATTTAAAATGGGCCCGGAAAAACTTCAGTTCCCAAGGCCTGATATATCCAAAAAGTTGATCAATCCGTGGCATAGCCAAAACAAACTCACATATAAAATTTCACGAAAATCGGTTTAGCCGAACTTGAGATACATGCGTGCACACACAGACAGGCAAATCGATAGACCGACAGTTTGCTGACACACCGACAAGTTGCTAAAAATAGCTTATTTACACTTCCCTACAATAGAAAAGTGCGTTCCCAGCGAAAATTCGGTATGCAAAATTTGTTTTCATCACATGATCTCCCTTATTATATGCACAATACACTGTAAAAAGTAGTGCATTTTTTTTCGAAGTTTAAGTTGATTTTTGTCCATTTTTTCAAACCTGATAAAATGTACATTTGACATTAACAAGTTTGCTAATTATGTATGAAATGTCTCCCACAATGCATATGTCTTATACAATACATATGTGCATATATCTATATATTTTTCATGTTTAAACTATATTAATGTTTAAACTATCCTAACAGGCGGTACGAAAAAATGCTGAGAAAACTTGAAAATATATTCAATAAAAATTATAGTTAAAATTTTGAAATGAAAATTTATATTTTGATATATTGCTGAGAAAACTTCAAATCTCTTCAAAAAATTGTTCAACGGTTGTAGGAGTATGAAAAAAAACTTCCTTTTATTCGGAATAAAATACTTTTTTATGTTTGCTAATACATATATTTCGTGGACTACATACGCACTTTATCAAATCTTCTAATTAGAAGAAAATCAGCTTTGATAAAGTGCGTATGTAACGTACGAAATATATTAGCAAAAATAAAAAGTATTTTATTCCGAATAAAAAGGAGTTTTCTTTTCATACACCTTCAAATTTCTTTTTATTATAAAAATTTTCGGGTTTTAGTTAACTTTCATATAGAAAGTTCGAAATGAAAATAGGCAACAATCATCATTTTTCCAAAAAAAAAAATGATTCTTTAGAAATGTCATTCCGCAGATAGTCGAACCCGTTTTCCGAATTGGTCCAAAAACTATAGCAGCCATCCTTGGCGGAAAAGAAATAACCTGTGATAAACAACAAGTTTGGTGTCGATTGCATTGTTCATTCTTCAGTTATTGTGCGATCTGACGGACGGTAAACATTTCTAAATGCACACACAATTTTAATCTGATCGTATATAACGAACATGTCCGTTTATTAAATAAGTTAAAGATAGTGTTCCAGATAGAAAGGTGTAATATTGTACTCATATAATTTAAAAGGTATCATTTCAGTAAAACAAAATTTTTTCGTTTTTATTTACACCATTTCTTATGTTTTTGATATCCTTATAATGTCGATTATTGTATTTTTGTAGTATTTAAACTTAAGTTTTAATTTTTTTCTAATTTAGCTTTAGCTAAGTTAATTCAATTCTTGCATTAAAATTTCTAAATTTTTCATCTTCAGTAAATGAAAATAAAAAAAATATGTATTTACAATGTGTATTATTTAGATAAATAAAAGTATTCCAGAAGACAATGAAAATGCGTTTTAAACAGTTCCTTACAAATTTAAAAACACTAATAAGCATTTAGTTAACATTCCTAGAAAAATGTAAATTTGGCTTTTAGGAGAGTATCATTTTGTGTCGTCGGAATTATACAAAAATTCGTTAGAAACTTCTGGTAACAACCAGAACTCTAGTATTAAATTTCAAGAAATTCCATCAACTCGTTCCGCAGATATTGTAAAAAATGTGAAATCGGCTCCAGACCAATTTCTGAGCCCTGATCTTTCCAGAAAAGTTCAGCCAAACTTGAGATACAAGCCTGCAAGCAAGAACCGACAGACCGACAGGTTACTAAAGGTAATTTATTTAGACTCCCATACCATGGAGAATCTCGTTCTCACCGATAACTCGAAATCCAAACTTTGATGCCATCACATACGTATGTATGTTATTATTAAATAATTTTTATTTCAATGAATAATACTATATCAGTTCAATTTTATATCACAGAATAATAACGTACACTTTAACAATCTGAATTTAAAAATTTGTTTTTGAAATATCTAGAATTAGCTTTCATTATTAAATGGCAATTACCCGAACCTGTTAAACTACTCATTAGAAACTTCCCGGATATTATATCCGACCTATAAGTGGACACAAGACTGCCAAATTTCAGGAATCTAGCTTTAATATTTTTCCAAATATTTGAAATTTTGTTTTGGAGTTGTATGGCAGCCACCCGAATATGTCAAGTCATATCACCAAAAGTTCAGGATTATATCTAATCTGAAATTGGCTACACGACTGCCGAGTTTCATGAATCTAGTTTTAATATGTTTTAAATACTTAAAATTTTGTTTTGGAGTTGTATGGCAGCTACCAGAACCTCTTAAATCATTCCACAAAAACTGCAGGGTTATATCTGATCTGAAATTGGACACACAACTGCCGCGTTTCATAAATTTCGGAGTTCATGAATGAATTAAATTATT